CGTGTCGTGAGATTCGCAAATGGGAATTGAAGAATCACTATCCCCAGATTCCTATTATGGCTCTCTCCGCCAATGCGATGACCGATCAAATCGAGAATGCTGCACGTGCTGGCTTCAACGATTATGTGACGAAACCTATCAAACACAACGAACTAGGAAAGATGATGATGGGACTTCTCGCTCCTGATCGCCCTTTACTTCTTCGCGATCGTCTAAAACCTGATCACGACGGTCATTTGTCCGATGCATCGCACTCTCAGTGAGCAGCTTTCGTCCGGAATTCATGACATGTCTCGACCTGCTCAGACGTGCTCGTTTTCAAGCGAACTACGATTCTAAGTTTTCAATCTTCTTGTAATGGGGTGCTGTTGCCCGTACGACTTTGGGTTTAGTTGCTATTTACATATCATTTTGGTCTGGGTTGAGGGTATGCACTGGCAAGAAAGCCATCGGTCGGAAAGGCGCCTTGGAGAATCTGTTTTCAAATATTTCATCCGTGTCTCATCTCCCGTCCCCGCAACTGTGGATTCCTATTTTGCATTTGCATTCGGCTGCGAGTCCAATTTGATACCTTTTCAGCATCATGGTGACGAAGGATCAGGCTCATTGTTCTTGAGACCATTTGAGCTTGTGCATGGCGTCATTTCTCGGATCTGTACTGGCGAAAATTCTACTGTTTCAGTTGCTCAGCCTTCATTCTGCACGGTTTGCTTTTAGATACCACTTTACAAGCGCTTTTGCTTTTGCCTTCAGGGACTCATTGTATGTGCAAATGGTTGAGAATTGAAATCCCTTCACTCTTGTTCTATTACTACTTTCTGAATAGACAAATTTATATAGTGATATACCCAATTGGCTACTTATCTTTTCATCTCTCCCTTTTCTCATTTCCTTGAAGAAGTCATAGGAGTCAGCAGTACGGCCCATCGGCGGGTAACTAGATATTCGTCACTCGAAGAGACCCTGCGCCCGGTGCATACACTACCTGAATCCGATCTGTGACAGAATTATCAGTTGGTTTCCCTTGAGAACTAGGATCAGATGACAGGCATATCCCTACGACAGGATGACCTCAGGGCCTCACTCTGTGACTCCCGCTGTCGTAAAATAGTCCAACCGAAGACTCTCATGCCGGCTTTACTGCGTCCCCCTTGCAACGCGTGCTCAGCCTGTGGTACGGGACAATGTTCAGCTGTCAGATGGACAGAACCGTCCATTCCATTCTGCCTTTCGGATTTTGAGTTCTGATCCGACGAAGAAGGTAAATGCAGACTGTTTCAGTTTCAGTTTCATTTTCATTTTCATTTTCGCGTCCCGGCGAGAGGTCCTCGAATCGAAGACTCAGTCCGGATCCGCGGATATGTCAGTACCCCTCCCCCGATCTCACCATGTGGCCAAAGCAGGGGGCAGAGAAAAACTCCTATTGATGAAGTTGACGATGTCTGTGTAACTACTGGTTCAGGTGACGCGCAGAGGAGGTGGGTGTTGCCTAGAAGCCGGGGGCGTGTAATCGGGATCTGAAGTCGACAGGGCACGCAAGGATGTTGTCATGGTGCTTCCTTGTGTGCGTTCCGTTCTGCCTCCTTGGTTCTTCAGGATTTACCGGTGCCCTGCAGATGCAGGTCTGGGATCTTCGGACTGATTGACTGATACCTTGTCTTGTCAGCTGCGTTCGGAATGACGTTTGTCCTACCAGTTCTGTACGCGATTCCAAACAGATGTACCAATAGTATGGCCGAAACTCGTGGTTACTGATCACCTGTAGCTCACAGAAGGTTAGAACTGCAGGCGTGTACGTGTTGGCCATTCAGTCGATCCTGGTCAGAAGGCCATATTGAAGGTTCTGTTCCATTTTTTGACTGTAGATCGCGGAGGGTTGAAACCAGGTCTTCGCGGCTGAGAGTCCGCACTATCGCAATGTGAACAAGCGCCCAAACGGGCGGTATACATGTTCTTGATAGCCAGTCCAGATACGGAGCCCTGGTTGGTCTGGAACAGTCGTTGTTGATCTCACATAAATAAACTTGGCCTCGGTCGAGTGTATTCCAGAAACGACGAGAGGAACAGGTATTAGCATTGGTTTCTGTATCCATGACACCTAGCGTGACGGGGAGCCGATTGGTTGAAGCTGTATCAGGTCTTGCTTGTGGCGGTGAGAAAGCAAAGGCACGATAGGCGAGTTCGACCCAACCCCACATTCATCGCCTTCCAAGCTGCATATTGGGCGAGTAAATCTAGGATCGTTGAGTGGAACTGAAATTGCTTCGCAGGGTACAAGAACCCGTGTCTTGCTGGAAATGAAGCACCTTCCTTGCATGCTCTAGCCCGTAAGAACAGGTAGCCTCCATCCAAGGACACAGACCTCAGCGAGAATATTTGGCCAATGCGAACGCAGTCCGTGAATGAATTATTACTTTCCCAGATTGACGGGAAACGATCCCATGGCCGCGACAAACCGACAGCCCAGGTAAAGCTAGATGGGTCGAGTCGAGTGGAAATGGTCCGTCAGCGCCAACAAAAGTGCGGCCGGCCTCAGGAACGTTGAAGCGCTTCTTTGAAGTGCCGTCTCCATCAGCGCCTGGGATAAGGAAGGTAGAGTCAGGAGGAAATGGACAGAGGAAAAAGCGAGAAAACAGCCGGCACTAGGTACTGCAAATGAGAAAAGTGTCATGTGTTAGGCCTCATCTGTGCACCTGCAATCTAGTCGGCCAAATTGTTGACTACCCGAGCAAACAGGATTGTTAGTGCCTTCAGCCTGGGGCTGCCTTCATTTTTCAGGCATACACTTGCTACCGCCCTAAAAGAACGAAGATCAGCCTAGTCAAAGAGATGAGGCACCAGTAAGGCACCAAAAACTTGTAGAGCAATGACGATGACCACATTACTATCAGAGCGAATGATGGCCCGACTTCACTTGGTGTTGATCCCGGGTGGCTTCGCTGTCCCCTCGTCCAAGCCAACGGTCCAGTCCAACATGGGAGCCATGCAATCAATTCGTTTGGTGCGCCAAGTCACTCCATGTTGCCATGTCAGCAGCGAAGATACTTCTGAAGTGGTATTGAGACGTCTTGTATCGTATAAGAGTTATGGCTGTTGTTCGATGGACCTTTACCTTTGTAGGTCTTCGAGAGCGTTCGATCGGATGGGTCTTATCACTCTGCTGCTGTCTTCGACCTGCACGTACTTAGATGAGTATTATTTTCTTCAGATCCACTTTTCTCCATATGCAGTCACCGTTGGTGGCGTTTAGGGCGCTTGTCACTGCCTGAATTCTTCTCTTTCAATGATGTGATGCTCTTTTCACAGGTAATGATGGCACAGAGCCGCGGATAGGCGGATCGCTGGGTCATCACAGGCCCCGGCTTTTCCAATAATTCTCCAGGCCCTTCTTCATCGAACTAAGAGCAGATGAATTAAACTTTGTTGGTTGGACGATCTTTTGATGGAAAACCTCCGCAGCAGAGGTCACCCTTAGTCCCAGTTTGGAAGCGAGGCAAGGCACCTTGGTGTTCGATAAGGCATCCCTGACAAATTATTTCCGCGAGTATTGTCGGCCTTTCGTCAATTCATGCACTGATGTCCAACGCTTATTTTCATTATTTTCTTTTCGAAAAACTCTGTTTTCCCCGTCAGCCGGTTATCGCTTTTATCCTCAAGTTAAAAGAGGATGACTTATGACACTAACTGGGCAGCAAGGCCGACTCCATAAAAAGAATGGAGACAACCAAAAAACTCCCAAGAAAAATAGCTGAGCGTCTCCAAGCACATTGGGATTTCTTTCCACGCATATACAAGCACACCACTCCTTCATGAATGGCAACATTGTATCATTCGGATGGGCAATATATTTCCCGCTGATTGTCAATGAGTGCAACTCGGAATCGAATGAGCAGCAAATATGGCAAACCCGGTGGCAGCAGCAGGTTGAGTATCTCGTTTCTGCTGGTTCTCACAGTCTCGTAGTCATGCAACCCTCACATACTAGGGTCTCGTCACTCGACATCCATGTTGTTCTTTCGGCCACCCAGCCTCCTGATTTTGGTGCAATGCGAAAGTCAATGACCCAGACAATGGAAAACGGACACAGCCAGTGTGTTTTTCCTCAAAAGCAAAGAGAAGAACAGGTATGGAGTGGGAGTAAGAAGCTTTGGCAGGGAGATGAAGGGGTTGAAAAAGGTAGGATGAAAGTAGTCGGAGCTTCCTCTGAGATCACGGAAGTTGGCATCTTTATAACCTCAAGTCACACTTTACTCAGGCCTGCACTCCGCTGCCTCCAATACAGCCCAAGACACACGGTGGAAAATTGATTATCATAGAAATTGAATGCCCGATTGTATTGTTGCCACAGACAAGCGGGAGGTGATCCGTATGGAGGAGTATTAAGAAGGCTGGGCCAGTCTCCGTGTATCGGAATCTCCTCTCTTGAGTTTCGTCTTTCCACCCTAAGCGGGGTCGTCTCGGGAACAGGAGCGAATTGGCGGCCAGAGTTTGAGTAACAGGCGGAATTGGGAGGTTAGGATTGGGGGAAGAAGAAGAGTTGGAAGGTAGAAGGTTGAGGGGGTCAAGGAGAAGAGATGCCGGAAAGGGACAAATGCCTAAAATCTCCAATCCGCCATCACATCATCCTCGACCTCTCCCCACCCCCTCCCCCTTTCCCCCTTCTCCATGGGCAATGGGCTTCCTCAATGGGTCTTCCACCGGATGGATGACCTTCCGTCGAGGGCTATAAATACCCTCCTCTTTTCTTTCACCATGAATCTTCCTCCTTCTTCCCTCTCCATTCCTTCATCCCAGGCCCTGTTCTTCAACCCAAACTTGACTATACTCCTCCCTGATCTCACTCATATCACATCTCTACACCTCTTCGCCCTCTGAGCAAGTCAAAGTTCTCCTTGTGCATCAAGTATCCTTTGTACTCGCCTCCGTGGTCCACTCCTCGCTATCCTGACTTGCACAACCTTCAGTCTATCCTTCCTTGTTGAGAGACCCATCATATCAGAATGGCTACCCAGCGTTACCAGCATGCTGCTCTTCCCATCAATGTGCCATCAAAAGCACCGGCTCCGGCCAGCCTCTTTCCTATCAGTCGGATCTCTGGATCGCCCCCAGACATTTCTGACACTAGCACCACCACGGGAAGCCGTGTCTCTGGTTTCAGTTACGGCAGCGGTGCTCTCAGCGGCGACTATGAGTCAAGCTCGGCGTCTTACTCAGGAATCGACGTCGTGGAAGTTCTGAGTGACCGTATGCAGGATGTTTTCGACCCGACCCCATTGGATCGAGGACTCGCAAAGCAGGCGCAAACGTGAGTATAACCCAACAGAAAACTGAGCCGCGCGTCATATTTGCACAGTCTGTGCTGATGTCATTTATAAAACAGATCCGGCCAGCTCAACGCAAAGCAGCGAGAGCTTCTCGAATTACAAGCCCTCGCTCAGCGCCGTCTCAAGGGCGTCCGCGCCAACTTTTCAGAGGGAATCAAAATTGCTCGAGAGACCAAGAGTGATCTTGAGTGGACTCAAAAACGTGTGAAGTGAGTCTTCAACCATTTTCTCACTGTGACTCTTCCATGTGTTATGATCGTCATCGATTTCCGCTCCGCCGAAGCGGATTTCGATTCCCGCCGCGCTCCGCCGTTGTGCATATTCTTGGCACACGCTGCATGGTCAGCAGCAAGGCGCATTTCCGGAGATCAGCGTCTACGGTGATTTGTAGAGAATGCTGACAGAAATGGCGTTCCTAGTGCATTGAAATCCAAGGCGGAGAAGGCATATCCCAATGAGTACCGACGAGCAGCGAAGAAATACACCTTCGACGATGACAACTAGCTGTCTATACGGCGGCCAAATGCGCTTGCATAAGTCGATTTTTAACGACAGTGACGACTTTGGGTTCAAAATTGGACGACTGGGTAGGATTGGGATCGGCGCGAATGCTTTCTGTTTTCAAATCTGGGACATTGGTTGTCAATATGCGTTCTGGGAGGTATATATTCTCGTGGGCTTGGCCACTCTGTTGTATATTCAAGGTTTATCATATGAACGAACTTGTCATTTTGCGCTGACAGTTTCATCTGCCCCTTGATACCTTGATCCGCCGGTGGATGCTGGAGATTTCTGACAACAACCGCAGTGACTAGAAATGCTCAGGCCCCGAATTAGCGAATAATCGAAATCACAATAGCCGACAGAAGGTGACGGATGCAAGCTTCAGCCCATTCACTTCGGAGAGGACATACCGCACCGGAAAGAATGGACAGGCTTCACGATCCGGCTATTTCAGACCCCCGAGGGTTGTCGCGCGCTAGTCCACATTCTGGACGCCCTGCCGTCCGAATATTCAGATAAAATGGCAGAAGACACGACTACCAAGAAATTGCACAGCCACAAAAGTCTCCTTCCTGACATTGCGCATGGTTCAATGTCATAAGATGCACGGGAGCGAACGAACCCCTCTATTCCGCCGCCTCCACTTTCACTTCCGCCAGCGGACGTCTTCGCACCGCCTTTTCTCCGCTCCGCCCTCCTTTTTAGGATCGTTCTCCTTGCCGCTTTTGCGGGAGGACGAGCCTGAGGACAAGGTGCAGCCCTAAGACGCACTAGGACACTTTGGGCATCATATTACACCTCGGGCGCGTTTGGAGGAGCGCATCAGACGCGTGGATACAGTAATCATTGATTCGCTCCTTGGTTGTAGGCAGCGATTGGTGCCCGATGAAGTAGTAGAGCTTGTTCATGAGACACCCGTAGCCCAAGTTCGCTGTCTGCCTAGGGCGTAGATGCGAAACGCGCGGTTTTCCCTCACCTAGAAGCGTAGTCCAGGGCTTCCTGTACGCGTCAGTCGTGCCCTGTAAATCACCTCGTAGTCGCGAAGGATAACTATGTATCCAGGTAAAGAACCACGGTTAGACCTCCGGGAGTGTCACTTGACCTGGAGTAACATGTGAGGTGATTACCTCCAGACATTCAAAAAGAATAATGAAAACACCATGCGAAGAGAGAGTAAGAGTCTTATTTAAGGTTTGCTATCGATAGTTAACTAGACTCGTTGAATGTGATGCGACTAGTCGATATAAAGTGGATGGTGATAATGTGATTACCCCTGAATCAAGACAACCTGAAACCTGGAAGACCCCTATGGCTATTGCGACATAGTCACGAAACATGAAGGATCCCGAAGATATCGTTGAACGCGATGTGCCAGGATTGAATATATAATTATATCATGTACTGTGCTCCCAACTTAAGTTCAGACTGTTGAGTCCGGAGTATTTGATGTGGATGTATATTCTGATCTGGAAAGCGTGCTACTATATTGGGCTCTGATGGTCCATGTACTACGGAGTGTTGACAGAAGGAAACTGTAGATCGGTTAGTGCTTGAAGAGCCGAGATCGCAGCCTCGAATCATCAGGAGATCCCATCAATTAAGGCTTTCTTCTGGGGTTTCAGCTCGGCCAGTGAACGATGAAAGATATATCATTTCGTACATGTCACCCCCAGGGCCATGACAATCTTTACTATTTATAGAAGTGATTTTGTTCGATATACAACAGCTAACGCATCAGAAAGCAAAGGTCTATTGGAAAGTTCGCTCTTCCTCAATTGCCCTGTTGATGACGCGGACAAACCGGCCCACCTTGTCGGGATCCTGCTTCGCTGTTTCAATCCCCAAAAGCACCTTCTTAACGCCAACGCCGATAGTTCTATCTTCGGTGATGCCACCAACTTCTGCCAAAGCCTGGTCGATCTCAGAGGCATCAAATGCTCCGGACTGCTCCATGAGATGACGCAGCTCATCGTAGGTCATCACGTTTGGTACCATGATATCCGAGTTGAACGAGTTATAGATGTCCAACTGTTTGAGCACAGCGCGCTCCGTTGTGGTGGCAAGGATCAGCAGCCGTCGGCCTTTGGTAGGCTGTTTTCTCAGGAAGACCATCAAGGTCTGAAGGATAGTGTTGCTGAAACGGGGACCAATAGGGACCCAGTCGATAATTCTCTCGATATTGTCAACGACGACGACACTCGTGCGACTCTTGTAAGCATCATCGAAAATCTTGCTGATGTACTGAACCCTGGCCATTTCACTAAAGCCTACCATATCTTCAGGGCTAATCAGCTTGATGAAGGGGAAACCGGAATCAATTGCAATTCGAGCGGCCAGAGCAGTCTTGCCACTGGCGGTGGGACCATGCAACAGAACAGAAAAGAGGGGCGAGGATTGAGCATTGCTGACTTGCTTCACGAAAAGCTCTCCTTCTTTCAGGATTTCGTTAATTGTAGGGGAATAATGGATGATGCCGTATTGGATACGGCTCGAAAGCTGTTCCTCTGACACACCAAAAGCAGGTTGGACTTCCTCCAGCGCATGGTAAAAATCGGCTCTCTTGACCTTCATGTTTACGACATCCTCACTGATGCCGGCCATGGTACCGACCTTGACATGCCGGGTAAAAGCAAACGAAGACGCGGACTTGACGAGGCCAGCAATTTCGGCACCAGAGAAGTTCTTAGTAAGGAGCGCGAGCTCAGCCAGGTCAACGTCTGGATCCATGATATTGTTTTCCCTCATCTTCTGGGTGTGAATCTTCAGAATCTGAGCCCGTCCCTCCTCGTCCGGAAGAGAAATCTCCATGTGCAATTCGAGACGACCCGGTCGCAACAAAGCTTCGTCAATCATGTCCTTTCTGTTGGTCATACCAATCAGGAGGATATTGTTCAGTTGATCAACACCGTCCAGCTTCGACAGCAGCTGGTTGACCACACTGTCCCCAACGCCTGTGCCACCACCTGCTCCGCTGCCACGTTGCTTACACACAGCATCCAACTCGTCAAAGATAATGATATGTAGTCCACTCTCCTCGCCCTTTTCCTTATATTCTTTTTCTGCGTCGGCAAACAGCTTTCGGATGTTCTCCTCCGACTGACCGACAAACTTGTTGAGCACTTCTGGACCGTTGATGACCTTGGGCTCCCTCGCGTTCAACATCTTTCCAATCTGCCGTGCGATCAATGTCTTGCCAGTTCCCGGGGGGCCGTAAAGCAAAATACCCTTCACGTGCTGGATACCAAGCTTTTCGACCAACCCAGGAGGGAAGATACGCGATGCAAACGCACGACGGAAGATTGTACTGAACTCCGCATCAAGGCCTCCGATTCCCATATCTTCGAACTTGAAGTCGGGTGTGATAATGGAGTTTGCTGCGGGGCGACGATTCGATGGCTTCAAGTTGATGCCGGTGCGGGCATCCTTGAAGAAAGTAATCTGGGTGTGCCTCGTCAAGATTCCTCTCGCTGTGGGGTCCGTCTCAGTGCTTCCAGCAGCAGCCCCAGCTTTCTCCGATGTGAGATCGACGCGCTGAACGGTCTTGACAGTCAGGAGCAGCGGTATGCTCTTATGATCCATCAAGATCTTCTGACCCGGAGAGAAGATCTGGTTTTCAAAGTTCTAAAGAAAGTTAATACTATGCAAAAGTCATCGATCCAAACAAGTATTTACCTTGATGACGGCGTTCGCTAACTCGTCTTGGTCGTACGGAGTCTCGACCCTCTTTTTCCCAGCAAAGCCGACTTCAATATCTGTCGATCCGAGATAGGCTTGTCCGCCCTGACTGAACGGATCGTATATCTGAGCCTTGACTGAATCTGTGAAAGCAACGCCCGCCCATGTCCGCTGGGGATCCGACATGCTGATATGTCCAGGAGGGAAACCATCGAGAGGACGAGCAGAAAAGACATAGAGATCGTTCACAAGGAGTAAAAGATCAAGTCCGTCGCGTGAAGGCGGGAAGTCCTGTGTTGAGACGGCAACACTGCTTGTTGTTAGCTATGTAATTTTAGAATCCGAACTTCACAGGCACAAAACTTACAGGTTCCCAAACGTATACGAGTTGTCAGGGCTCTTCGCAGGTCGTAGCGTCCATACCTGGGCTGACGCACCGGGCGCCCTGCCCCCTACTGGGTTTCTTGGAGGTGTCTGCGAGTAACTTGGCCTGGGTGGCGGAGTTCCATAACCCCTTGATTGATTATACGCATCAGTCATCTGGACATCGTGGTCAAACTGATGCGGCGATTGTTCATACCCTGCGCCACCCATCGGCGAATGACCAGTATCATACCCATCTCTTCGTGGAGGTGGGGGACCTTGACCAGGACTCGCATTGCCTCGGGAGGAGGGGCGACCTGAGAAAGGATTCGGTACAGATGGATAGTTGTTGCGATTGAACATGTTGGTTCTAGCAAAGGTGGAACATCCGAGAATGATCCGATTAGGCGATGGTTGCGACCCTGTTGTTGAGAGGCGCGGTGGACGGTTAGAGGCAAGTGTGGTGGTATAGGAGCCGGAGTAGCTTATTGAAGCTTAAGGCGATCGTCAAGATAGCCTGTTTATGTGAGAAGGAATGTCCCAGAGATGGGTGATGCTATGTGTATTATTGAAAAGACTAATCAGGGAGAGAAAGAAGTATGAGACTTGATCAACTTTACGGAGTAATCTCCGTAAGAGACGTGGGTATAACGTGGCGGGGGTATCTACCTTGGAAGTTGGAGGCTAGTCTGGAGTTCGGAGTAGGAAGATACCTGAGGCAGCGTTGCTCACTTGCCGGAGCGCCCATAATTAGCCACATCGGCCCGTGAAGCTCCGTTTCGCGATCGGTGTGGCTTAAGCTAATAATGATCCACCCTCATCGTCTTGGGATCTCCGGCAACTCGTCGACTGTCCAGCCAGTTCGCCTGGGTTGATGCTACGTGACCAGGTGCTCTCAGAGTACTCGATTCATCATGCCTCTGTAAGTTTATCGAATTTGTTCTTATGCGATTCTATCGCGCATACTGATGCCTTGAGCAGTCACCTACTCGGCAAGAAGTCATGGAACGTCTACAATCCCGAGAACATCGCCCGTGTACGGCGTGATGAGGCTGAGGCCAAGGCCCGGGAGGAGGAAGAGGAACGTCGTATGCAAGAAATTGATGCTGAGCGCAGAATCCAAATCCTCCGCGGCGAGCAGCCCTCTACCCCACCACCCCCGCCGTCTGCTCCATCAGATACCCGACGCGACAGGACCCATGGAGAGGATGCTGGAAGATATAGAAAGAGGAGGCGACTGGCAGGTGAAAATGATACGGATCGGGATATTAGACTCGCGAGGGAAGATGCTCAGTTGATGCTGGCGAAAAGTGAGGAGCTCGCTGTGTCCAAGACCAGCGATGCGCCGCTTTTAGACAGTAAAGGGCATATCAATTTATTTCCTTCCGAGGCAGCGCAGAAGCCAGCAGAAAAGAACAAAGAGGCGGAGAAGGAAGCAGCTGACAAGAACCGGAGTTATGAGGACCAATATACGATGCGCTTCTCGAATGCGGCGGGGTATCGCCAGTCTGCTGGCCAAATGCCTTGGTACTCTTCCTCCAGTCGTGATGTTTTGGCGCCTGATGCTATGCCTGAAAAGGATGTTTGGGGTAATGAGGATCCGATGAGACAGGAGAGGGAGAAAGCCCGGCTAGATGCCAACGATCCACTTGCGGCGATAAAGAGGGGAGTTCGCCAGTTGAAGTCGGTCGAACTTGGACGGAAAAAGTGGAACCAGGAGAGAAAGAGAGAATTAGACGCATTGAAAGAGGCAGAAAGACATCGGTCGCGTCATCGCAGAAGGAGATCAACGTCAAGATCAAAAGCGTCGGACTCTGGGGACAGTCTTGAAAACTTCAGCCTTGAGGCACCTGACAAACATCAGGATAGGAAACCGAGGAGCTCACACCGACATCGCTCGCATCGCCGCGGAAGAAGGCGCGACCGTTCTCACGATCATTCTTGCGATCAATCCCGCAAGCGACACCGTCACTCCCATTCCCACTCCCATTCGCACCGTCATCGTGATCCCCATGACCATGACCGAGGGGACGTTCACGAGGCGCAGTCGCACAGACGCCATGTGTGACACCTTTCGTTATGGAAGCTTGATCTTGATGTGAATTATATTTACACGGATTACGACGTTTGATCCCTACCATAGCTACGGATGGCAGAGCCAACCATGGTTGCTTTATGAAATGTGCATTTGTTCGAAATTGAGCGTCTCTATATTTTGAGAGGTATGTTGGTACCAACCAAGTATGAATCATGAATTACAATAATAGACAAAACTTTTGATCAAGCGTCATAACTCATTGGAGCACCCATTTTTGGGCCCCCTGCTCGCCCGCTTGAGTATCCCACTCGATAGTGATGTCCAGCGAGCGTGACCCTTCTTCTCTCTTCTGATAACCGACCTTGCCGGCGATGGTCTGACCCTTCTTTAGGGCGACTCCCTTCTTTCTCTCGCGATCAATCAGGAGAACGCCCTGTTGCCAATGCGTCTCCGGCCCGTCAGGGCCTGTAGTGAAGGCGACGAAACCCTTCTTCTGCATTTCTGAAGGAACGGCGTTCTTCGGGATAGTAGAATCCCTAGAGGGCATGAAGAAAATATCAAACCAGATAGCGAAACCGTCAAGGGCATCTATATCTTCCTTCAGAGTAACTTGGAACCCCTTCAGGAACGAGAGCTCCTCCACGGTGATGGTATGCAACGGCAGTTCTAGGAAAACATCGGAATCACCAGGAATTGCCGCAGGCTGCACGCTACGAACAAGCGCGTCGTCGTAGATGTTCTTGCGCATGCTGCCCATCTTGAAGCCGTACACATCGTCCCAGAATGAGATGTGCGACGAGATGAACTCGGAATCGGCGAACGGCGCAATACGTAGGGTGGCGTCCGAGGGTACCATCAGTCCTCCTGGAGCGAGATACCGGTCTCTGGCGTAAATGACCGAATCGAACATGGCCTCGAATAGAAGGCAGTAGCCCATCCATTCGGAGACGATAATGTCGACCTGGGGAACAGGCAGAGTGACGTCTTCAATCTTGCCACGGATGCATCTGATCTAATGTTAGATTCTGGTAGATGAATATCGGACGGAAAGCAGAAATACGTACGTGATCACGTCGCCAAAACCGTTTTCGTAGATGATTTCCTTGGCTCTGTCAATAATATTGGAATTGTCGACTGAGATGACCTTCTTGGCGCCTGCTTTCGCGCAGAACATGGAGAGAATGCCAGTTCCACATCCGACATCTAAGACGACTTTGTCCTTGAAGAGATGCTTGTTGTCGTAAATGAAATCGCGATAAGAGTCAGTACGGACAGTGTCCTTCAGCATGGACTCGTGAATTGCTTCAAACATATAACAGTTAGCGCAAAAGGCATATCCAGCTCGAGAACCTGTGGAGAACTGACCATTGTACGAGTAGGAGACGAAGTAATCTGCGTCTGCCTCCTCAACCTTGCTCATCTTCTTGCCGGACGGGCCGCTGGCCGATGATCCCAATCTCTCATCTTCCATGGACAACTGCTCGTCCATTGACTTTTGCACAGCCATTCTATACTCAGTGAACTGGCTCTGAAGGCGTTCAAGGTCCTCCTGAAGCTCGATCACGCGGCGCTCTGCCTCAGTGGTACCGGCTGTCGCGGACTCTTCGTCTTCGATATCGTCCAAGCTATACAAAAGGGCGTCGTCTTCAAGAACCGGCTTCAAGTAAGCCTCGTCCTCAAATTTATCTTTCGAAGACACATCCGGGGTTGTGTTCCCAGCTTTGACTTGAGACCGGACATAATTGACTAATTTGATAGTACCAAGAAAATCCAAGTCTGATGTGGAACGTAACAAGTTAGCTAGGATTTCTCGCAAACAATCATGATCATGCCCATATTGGGAGTATCAGAACAATAACGAGAACGGAGCGCCCAACAATGGATATCACACACCAAGGTCCTTTCGAATCTTCCGCAAGTCAAAGCCATGCTTGTCTTTAGACTCCTGGAGCATCGAATGTACATCGGGGTAGACCTTATCGGAAAACAGGCCAATTACCGGCTGTGTCTCGTCATCAGGCTCAACATCTTCCCATCCCTCTTCGTTGCTGATATCCGAATCGTCTGAGGAGGCGGTCGAGAGGGCATCTTGGTCCCTTAAGCGACGGTCTGAGGGGATTGTTGCAGACATTGACTCAATTCAAGTCTGGACAAGGGCAATTCGAATTCTGAGCTTTTAACTTCTAGAATTCTTGATTATTTGGACGGAATTATGGCAACCAATGGACCATGTAAATATATGGATGGAGGGGTTCAAGCGATTGAGGGGGCCAAAATCGGTAAAAAAGGAAAAAAATTGAGTTATCACAACAGAACCCGCTGGTTGCCCCGCCCGATGCTGGCTGGGTACTTTGTTTATCGGCTCTCCGCCTCACAACAGCTGATAGGGCAGATAACAAGTGGGAGCTGAGACGAACCTCATTATCATCAGCATCGTTGTCATCACCAGCACCATCTCTTTCTCCTTTTCTATCTCTTTTCTCCTTGTACAGGCTCACTGCTTCCTTCAGTCGAGACAGGGAAGTGTTCATGTTACCCTTATTCTGCTAGGGATCAATTGCTTGCCCTGCATCTTCCACATGTACTGAATAGCTCATTGTCTCCGATCCTTTTTGTTTCTTCTACATCAAACTTTCCTGTCCAATACATATTACATTATTTATATTAACGGAAATGGCTTTCCTCTGGCGGAATCGGCAACGGCCTCCTTCTGATGTCGTCCGAACAATCAAGGAGCTACTGTTAAGACTTGGAGAAGCTCCGGCAGCTGCCAAGGTCAGTCTCACAGGTTCACTCTGCTTGTTTATGCCACAGATTGTACGAATCTGCAGCTTGCTGACAGCTCCATATAGGTCGAAGATGACCTGGCGAAGCAACTTGCGCAGATGAAAGTGATCGTCCAAGGCACTCAAGGTTAGTTTAGTGGGCGTGCACCATTGTCTCGCCACAACGGTGCATTCTATGAAAGAGTAAGATCATTGTGCTGACTGCAGTCTGCTTTAGAAACTGAGACGACCCCGGAGCAAGTACATGCTCTCGTTCAAGCCACCGTCCACGAAGATCTGCTATACGAACTTGCCCGCAACCTCCGTCATCTTCCCTTTCAAGCCAGAAAAGATACGCAAACCATATTCTCTCAGATCCTTCGTTTTCGACCCGCCCAGGCCAACAGCGGCGACCCTCCAGTCATTTCTTATATCGTACACAACCATCCCGAGATCATTGTCGAGCTCTGCCGGGGATACGAATCGCCCGAGAGCACAATGCCCTGTGGCGCCATCCTGAGAGAAGCACTCAAATTTGATGTGTGTGCGGCCATCATCCTATACGACCAGTCTATCGAGGGTCAACCCGCGATCAGATTGACACAAGTCAACCCCGATATTCCCCAGAAAGGCAATGGCATCTTTTGGAGATTTTTCCATTGGATCGACAAGAGCAGCTTCGAAGTGAGCGCCGATTCCTTTACAACGTTTAGGGTAAGCAACGACTGTTATGATTGAGGTGGTCATCAGAAGTAACCGTGACATAGGACATTCTCACTCGTCACAAGAGTCTTGTGACCTCGTACCTCACCACCAACTTTGATCTCTTCTTTTCGCGCTTCAATGCACTCATCCAATCGAGTTCCTATGTTACCAAGCGCCAGAGTATAAAGCTTCTTGGTGAGATCCTGTTGGACCGAGCCAATTATAGCGTGATGATGGCATACGTTGAAAGCGGGGAGAATCTGAAACTCTGCATGCAATTGCTCAAAGATGATCGCAAAATGATTCAGTACGAGGGGTTCCACGTTTTCAAGGTATGATTCTCTATTTCTTCGGCGCGAACGATGGGCAGCAAGTCGGCGATTTGCTGATGAGGAATGTGGCATAGGTATTCGTCGCAAATCCTAACAAATCGGTCGCGGTGCAACGGATTCTCATCAACAATCGGGACCGTTTGTTAAAATTCTTGCCTAAATTCTTGATGGATCGCACGGATGACGACCAGTTCACGGACGAGAAGAGTTTCTTAGTCCGTCAAATCGAGCTGCTACCTCAGGAGCCCATTGAACCAGCACGATCAGCGCAGGAGTCATCCAGATCGCGAGTCAACACCGCCGCGGCGGCCTAGTGCATGGCCTTGAAATGTCCCTTCACCTTTGTCACTACAGCAGGACTGTTTGTATTGAATCAGCGCCCCTTATTGCATTGATGGCCTACTGGTATATGGCTGCCACGGAGTTATAGAGCGTGTTTCTGTATCTAGGACTCGGATAAAATGACGTTGACATGGATTACTACCGTAGACAGAAACGCCACAACAAAAAGAACAGGAAGGGAGAAAAAGAGACAGACCAGACAGACCTGTGTCAGTCCTTGCGTTAAGGAAGGATTGTCAAGGGCTTCATCCCTTCAATAATATCCCAAAAATGATGCGGGAGTGAAGACCGGTGATAGTCTGTCGTAAGGGAGTAGTTTATTTCAGAGAACTTGGTTGTAGAACCAAGGATTTGGCCTAACTGTTATTCAAGGGATATTTACCTTTCCTGTAGTCAGAGTAACCTCTTCCCTCGTGGCAGTACCGTGTTTAAGGTAATATAATGATTATGTTCTAGACTTTATTGCTGTCCATGGGCAGTGAGCTCCACCGTAGGCACATCATAATAATCTATCCTGTGGATTCAGGTCGCACAGCTTCAAGGACCACCACTCAGAGTTAGATCAGACCACAGTGACTATCCAGTGATAAGAGTCTGCTCTTATAGATCGAAGCCGATTAATTCTGTCCTCTCTAAATATAATAACTGTTATTATCGACTTCGTCAATAATATTCGGCTTTCAACGAATTTTCCGCGATTGACCCACCAGAGCGCGCGGCTTTTGCAGTCTGGAGCCCAAAGTGGGGGACATTTATGGAGTTCAACTGTGCAATAATCGTTTTTATTGTAGCCCCCCTATGATGATCCCTGCGTTGAATTTTCAGTTGTTAGTCTAATTTTCCGAGTTCATCTTGATACGTAGCTAAGCGAACCCTCTTTTCTTTTTTTTTTAGTAGCAGTATCAAAGGCTGTAGAAGACACGGAGTTCTGGAGGAGAGGTAGCCTTGCTGCCTCAGGATGGCGAGACCAAATTCGTTCCACATAATAAGAATCAACGCTATCATGAGCTAGAAAGAACAATGACGATGCGAAGCCAGGATAGTAAGCATTCATTTTAAGTTGCATAGGACATATAGCACATCTAGCACATCTGGATACATCTAGATATAGCTTTATTGCTATTGACTTCTCCCTACATTCGACTCAAAGCAGAAAGTGAAGCTTAATTCCTCCTTGCCAAGCATCCAGGGAGCCGCGGTTCTACTACCTAACACTAAGTGCTCGCTAGCCTCGTCAGTCTCTTTCTCTTTTATCTCTTATTATTCCATATTCATCCTCCTTGACGGGGAGGCCGATCATGTTCAATCCCTTGGGCCATTGTCATTCATTTTCGCTCCTTTTATCCGCCTGAGTACCCCGATCTGGTATTCTTTGTGCCCGACATCCTGCAGAAGCCAGCGAATTCGAGTTGATTGCGTTCGCCTCCCCAAAGCTCCCCCTCGCCGTCGTCCTCGTCCCCGCCTGCCTGCCCTCCCCTTTGAAACCAAATTTGTCTGTACTCTCCGATTCAAAACGAACGGAAAGGAATCCAAAATCACGGTCGCTACGATTTTAATCACCCCAAATGCTGCAAGTCATGCCAGGATAGATTGATCAGCGATAATGATCATGGGGGACCAACGCTCTTCTTCGGTGCCTGCTGTCGTCACGACAGAACCGGACTCGACCATCTCTGCCCTGCGCTACGAGGACACCGTCGCCCTCGCAGACTCTGGGGCCATCCGATCCGCCTCAGTTCCTACTCCGCACGACTACGTGTTATGTTCAGAAAAGCGATCGGCGTCAACGAGCGCATCATCGTCAGACAACCACGGGGGCAAGTTTGAGTCGGTTGCATTGGCGTCGCATCAGAACAGCAGTACGGAATCGGGCCTCGCGCCCTCCTCGGTGTCAATCGCAAAGGATAAAAGGCTGACGCCGCCGGAGGACAGTCATTCTACTTTCAGTCGGCGGTCGGTGCGCAGTATTCCCAGTATCATTGTCAATGATGCTGGGTCGCGCCCGGGGTCTCGGCCTGGATCGCGGCCGGGCTCTCGACCAGGCTCTCGGTGGTCTGAGCGCAAATGGAGCGCTTTGAGAGGGAAACGATCTGGAGAGTTTGACAGGAGGCCGGAGTCACCGCCGCCTCCGCCTCAGATCGAGAGACCGTTCAATAAGATCTCGCTTGATATCCCGAACGGTTCACTTGATGGCCTCGGACCGCAGTCCATGCGATTTTCGAAACGTGGCAGTCTTATCAAGGAGGAGGATAGGCAGCGCCTCCAGCGTGAGATCTCGAAGCATGAATTGCCGCAACAAGACCAGTCGCAGCCAGCGGCTGAATCTTCAATAGAACAGTCAGAGCAGACCGAGACGGGTGAAACAAGTGCACCTGTAGCGGAGGAGAACAGTGCGGAGCCAGAACTCTATGGGGCGCAACGACGCCGGACGAAACCATTGTCGTATTTGCGCGCGAGGCACAGCAGCGTTCCGAGCAGAGCGATCTCGGCCGACGAGGACATGCTTTCGCGTCGAGTCAGGTTGATGTACGAGAAAGGCGACGAGAATGTGACCGATTCGGAGGTGGCCAAGTCCCTTGCGATGGAGAATGGAGTGCTGTGGGAGGAAGTTGCTCCCACACCAACAGAGGCTTCTGCCGTATCTGGACGCAGCGCGAGTGGTGGGGAGTCAGTTGGGCCTGACAGCAGCAATGGTTCTGGCCCAAAGAGGGAGCCCCACGAACTGGCCGGTGGTATTGAATACTGGCAGAATATCAAGGCAGGCGATGTCGATCGGTACGGCTTCATTCGGAGTACTACTTTCAACTCGGCCGACGGCACGGAGCATAGTCCAATCCAGCGCGTTTCTACCAGCCTGCTTCTGGCGTCAGAAACACCGCGACGGAAGCATTCCATCCGACCTCCGTCAGCCCTGGGGGGCAACCGATCTTTTTCGGGCCGATCACCAACACGCAAGATATCTGCGCCATCTATGCGTCCGTCGTCCTCGCAAAGCACATACAGTTCCACTCTTCGACGGTCAACATCTCGATTCCGCCAGGCGGCCAATCATCTTCCGCACAATCGCGATCGGCGGTTCAAGGATGAGGCGCGTGACATGCTGACACTTCCAAGCGATGCGGCGGCTTCTGGAACGGGACGGGACTCAGCCGTAGCTCGCGCGATGCGCAAGAAAGAGTGGGAACGTGAGGACAAGTGGACAAAGATGGCCAAGCCTACACGGAGAACCGCACTCGGCGGCGGGATGACTTTTGAATTCGACACGCAGAGTACCAAGCTGATTGAGCGGACATGGAAGGGTATACCCGACCGATGGCGCGCAACGGCCTGGTACGCATTCTTAGAGGCAAGCGCCAAGCGGCGCAGCGACAGCCCGACGGAACAGGAGCTTGTCGAGGCTTACAATGAATTCCAGCTCATATCGTCCCCTGACGATGTACAGATCGATATTGACGTCCCGAGAACGATAACCAGTCACATTATGTTCCGCCGCCGTTATCGTGGTGGACAGAGGCTGCTGTTCCGCGTGCTGCACGCAATGTCCTTGTATTTCCCCGATACTGGCTATGTACAGGGTATGGCGGCGCTTGCGGCGACCCTCCTCGCCTACTACGATGAGGAGCATGCGTTCATCATGCTTGTCCGACTGTGGCAGCTACGAGGACTGGAGCGCCTGTACCAATCTGGGTTCTCTGGTCTGATGGAAGCCCTCAGTGACTTTGAACGAGAATGGCTTGACGCAGGCGAAGTCGCCGCGAAACTAAACGAACTGGGAATCCCGCCCACCGCGTACGGTACCCGCTGGTATCTCACGCTGTTCAATTACTCCATCCCCTTCCCCGCGCAGCTTCGCGTATGGGACGTCTTCATGCTCCTCGGCGATGCGGAGGAACCGCCCGGCAAAGGAACCAACGCGTCCGAGCCACCAGTCACAAGCGCGTTCGGCAGGGGCCTGGACGTCCTCCATGCCACGTCCGCCGCGCTCATCGATGGCATGCGGGAGATCATCCTCGAGTCGGACTTTGAGAATGCCATGAAGGTCCTCACGAGCTGGGTCCCTATCCAAGATGTGGAACTTTTCATGCGAGTCGCCAAGGCGGAATGGAAAGTTCATCGTCGCAAGAGGGGGGGATGAAAGCATGACCTCGTTCATCTACCCTCAATCAGACCAACGCATGTCCTGTCCATATTCAATTGCCCGCATCGCATCTATAATCATCGCTATACATCCGCACGGCACCAGCTGCCATATAATCCGTCCACACGATTCCACTGATGACCAGAACCCCACACATGGGGTTTTGACGAACAGTCTCTCTCATATATAATATTCTAACGGCCATTGCATTACATTTGGGAGGGCAAGACAGAATCTCTCTCGTCTCAAACGTCTAGAAGTCCATTTATTTCACCACCGGTGAATGGCTTTTGTCTGGAAGTTCACCGAAGGGATATTAATCAACAAGCCCTTCAGACTACTCCCCCGACACGCTCATACTACATTACCACTACTCCTAGTACCCCTTTCCAGCAACGGATATAATAAGTCGACGGCGGTTACGAGCGTCGCCCTCGATATAAATATCATGCCATCTCCATCACTCGCTTCAAATACTCTCATTCCCCTAGGGTCCTCCTCTCTCTCTACTTCATTCACCACCTCGTTCCTTTGTCTCGTATCTTTCTTTCTGGCTCCATTCATTCTGTCCCCGACTCTCTCTGGCACGTATCTCATCCTCTCCCTTTCCTTTCCTGGCGTGCTCTGTCTTGCCCCTTCATTTCCGTCCTGACACGTATCAACTCGTGGTCCAGGCCGCCTATATACGTTTCACAGTCGTCCCTTGAAGCAAGGGCACATCCTAGTCTGCTTTGATTCTAATCCTGATACCCCAAGCAAGGCCCATCTTGTCATGTCGTTAGGTCACTATATGTGCCTGTTTCGTATAGACTTAATCAACAGATATTCTTGTCCATCAGCCAGGTCGTATGCGTATCTTTTCGACTCACTAAGCGAAAAATTGTTCACTGGGTCAGCTGCTTGATCTAGTGGTAGCGGAATTTATGTCATTCTACGTATCAAAATATTTTTTACAATCCACAATTCCCAACATGAGGGCATTGTGCTGAACGGTCATAAGACTGACAGGACATTACCTCATGCCACCAACGGCGCCAGATGCACTATCTGTTATACATATCGCCGGCAAGAATAGATGTGCATGCTCACAACAATGTTGAACATATCTCAGAAAAAACCAAGTACACAGACAGGAAATGCCCTGATGAAAGGATATCATCTAAATGGCTCAGAAGCAACTTTTAGCACAGTAAAATGTCAAGAAATTCATCACGTCGTCTATGGAGGAATAAATTAGTCCGTGAGCCCACATCGATCTATCTGGTTGCCGATTTTGCGTGAAAGGCCAAGATCAAATAGTGGGAATTCTGAGAATATCTGCCACCAGTGAGCTCTGATCTGTCGTTGAACTAAGACTGAGAAGAAGCTTCAGCAGCATCTTCGACTTTGTTGGAATTGTTGACATTGTCAGACATGTGGGAAGCCCGATACCGAACGCCTGCGCTGTCGGATGGTATATCTCCACGATTTGAATCCTTTGTAGGGCTCAAGTCGCCCGACCGTTGATTCGTGCTCGATACGCCAGCCTTCTGATGTAACGAGTCATTGCCTTGGTTAGCCTCACGATGGTCCTGCATTCGCAAATCATGCGAGCTAGATGCGTCACTGCGCTGGCGGTGATGGGCTCGAGAATCTGGTGGTTGATTGCTGGCGATTGGGGAACCAAGCCGGGAGGACGGCAACGAAGAGGAGGGAGCGTCCGAGGGACGTGAGGATGGAAGAGGAGCCGGCTGATGGGGAATCTGAGACTTTCTTTTTCGACCAGGAGAACTCTGGTACTCATAACGGCGCTGTGGCTGAGCAATGGATATCACGGTGGAGTCATGTTGGTTCTTTGCTGGAGGGGGCTGGCCCGGTGGGACCCAATGGTGAAAGTATAAGGATGGAGGAGAATGCCGTGGCGGATGTTCCTGTTTGACTCCCGCCGGCTGAGACGAAGGAAGTGAAGAGCCAGTTGCATACTGTGCGTTACTAAGCGTGAGCGGAACATGCTGCAAATGTGTTTCGCCGTTGATCCGAGACAGAGACGAGGTAGTGGCCTTTCCAGCACCGCTTGACAAGGGGGGACGTCCGAGAGACTGAATGGTGGGAGAACGTCCATGGGTAGTGAGAGGCTGAGACAGAACAGGCCCAGGAATCGGTTGTTGGTGTGGTGGAAGGCTCGCGTACGTAGTTGATGGAAGGCCTCGCGAGTCACGCCGAATGTCTACAGGGATTGCCAAAGGTGTATGCCGCTGGGAGAGTGAGGGTGGCGGCGGTAGTAGGTCAAGTGCGGATGGCTGTTGCTGGTGCAGAGGAGCTGAAGGGTGTGAAGGGGGAGGAGGCGCATTACTGCGTGTGCCAGGATTCTGGGACGCATACTGCTGTATCAATTCGATAGCAGACTGGGGAAGGCTGCCACCAGTGATTCCGGCGAAGATGAGCGGGATCATCTGAGGCGGAACTCCCGACTGCAGCGAATCACGAAGCATGCTTTGTTCGATCTTCCGCTGCTCTAATCGGAGAGACTCCTGGCGTGTCTTTTCCTCTTCTTGCAATCTGCGGTCTTCCTCTGCTTTAGCCTGAAGCCATTGGCGTAAGTCCTCCGAGGAGCTCCATCCCGGCGGCGCGGGGGGTAATTGGCTCATAGGCGCCATGTTGGAGCGGCCAACGTCCAGTTGCAGACTAATTGACGATGGAGGAGGCAATACTCTGCGCGAAGGCTTCGGAGACGTAGCGCCGGTAGCAGAAGCGTCAGGAACAGTAGGCGGGGAAGACCGCGGGGTGGGAATAGATTGGCGGACGATTGCGTACTCATGAGGACCCTTGATCCTATTCTGAGCGGAAGGTTTCAGAGTGAGCAGCATGTCTCGTCAACGATGAGACACTCGGAAGCTTGGCGAGGTGGGGGAGGGGAGTAGAGTAGAAATGAGCGCAAAAATCTTGTCTAGTCCAAACACTGGTCTGGCAGCATCGGCTAGAGCAGTAAAGCTGCGAGAAAAGGCTAGGACAAGCTGCGGCTGGCCCTGTCTATCTGTCGGCGTAAGCCAACGACAGTCTCTGGAGTGCACAAAGATCAGAGGATGTCCCACACCAATCAGTGGCATCAGATGAGCTGGGATGCAAACGATCGACCACGGATAGAGCAATGCATAGCTGACTGGAGCAGGATATGGCCCAGATTGGGTAAGGCCCAGAGGCTGGTGTCTGACAAGAAAAGCAGAAGGATTTGCGGACGAGGGACGAGGGACGAGGGATTGAATTGATTGTATATGATGTCCGAGAAAGAAAGAAATAGGAATGGACACTGGACAACGCCCCAGATCAACAAAAGAGGAAGGACCCAAATTGGGAAAGTTCGACTTACCCGAACAGGCCAAGTTCCCGCCCGCAACTGCCAGGTCGGGAAATCAGTGGAGTTTGTCAATTCCCTTAGAGTTTGGCATTTAATATTGAATATTATTGTTGTATGTACAGAGTAGTATCAATTATTAATACTTTGCTACGCCGAGGAGTTCTGGAAAGAAGTGGGTAAAGCTTTCTTAAATAACCCTTCATTATTGTCATCGTCGAGTCTTGTGCAAGCTGTCCTTTATCTACACGCTCAAAAGCCACTGAAATACACGAGTCTCTAGTCTGATGGTTCACCCAGAGTGGAGACTAGTCGCTCATTGCGTAGTTCTGGCGCTCTGTGATGACGACGAAGGTGGGAAAAGGCCGGGGCTAGGCAAGTGTCTATCGATTGGAGGCGTTTCTTGCGGGAGTACGTAGGCAAGAAAGAAGAAATCAATCACCCTTGCCGATTGTCTTTCTTGTTGGCGTGGAATTCTCCGACAGAGGGAGTGTTTAAGAGAGAGAAGCGCTGAAGCGGGACGGTCCGAGGTGAGATACAGCTTTTGTCGAGAGGAGTATCGGTAATGAAATAGACCCCTTATGAAGTGAGAATAGATATTCTTCGTAATGCGGATAACCTCCTTCGCATTGTTGACGACTGAATCGACCAGGGAGATATCACATAAATGGGCTACCAAGGAATTAGGTAGATACCTCTCCTGTCATACTGCAGCAAAACCATGACACTCCGCACATGCTCAATCCCCAACATGGCGATCGCAATCAGAATCAATGCTTGTCTTCTGTTCTCAAGATGCTTCCTGATATCTTTGCTCTCACGAAAGTTTCGTCTGAGTTTCCCCGATGTCTTGGGGCAAAATGTTGATGCCTGGCGTTCCTGGAGTTTCTCGGTGATAGCATCGGAGCCGACGTGGATCGGTAGCAATTCCTAGTTTAGTATATAGGGTTATTGCCATACGGGTTATAGTTAGTATTGCAGGAGCTCCAATCCTTAGCTGGGCATTAGTGCCGGCTTAGCGCATACTCCACTCTGCCACAGTGGGTTAGTTGAATCATGAATGGACGAATGAGACAGAATGGAGGCTTGAGACCCCTGTACAATCGAGGCAATCAGCGACTCTCCAAGGCTCAACCTACTCAAGGAAGCAAGGATATGCTAGTCGTTAGTAGCCCGTTACGAGATGGATGGAGAGGGCTCCTTCCATATCGGGTAATTCCTCGTCCTATTTCGGCCGAGGCTCGCTTCTTTTCTCCTCGTTTGTATCACTTAACGGCCAAGCCGTAAATCTTGCCTTGAATCATTCTTCGTTGGTGATCAGATTGCCTAGACTCGGATTCAGGCCAGATGTTTCAGCTAAAGGATCTCTGACGTCCTTACTCAATCTTCATCCTCACTTGCCTACATAACCTCACGCGACCCAAGATTCATCGCGTCCGCATCCAGTAATCCTAAAGCTGATCACAATCCTATTTCATTTGATGCAAATGAAGTCTCCGTTTTCCTGCCAGTCATATGTCTATTTTGCCATACCGGAGTCTGTATGTCTACCGAGTATCGTGATTTCTCCCCATACGGAGTACACCGAATACGTTTCAAGATGCCGACTCGCAGCCCGTGCCGCAATGGTGATACAATAGATGATCAAAAGTATATACGAGAATCCAATTCAAGACTCCACGGGGGTATCGCTAGCTCGCTACTGCTGTAACCCAATTCCAATGCGCACCTGGTTCCTTGCATCATCCATCGCGGTCGAACCGGGTCAGAACCTCGGGGGGAACCGTGGGAATGTACTTTCGCGCTCGTTCTCGGTTGGTTCCTCCCCATCCTGCCCCGTAGCTGATCAACATGTCGGTGCTGGTAGGTAAGGAGAAAGGTAGAGTAAGCGATGGATCCAGGAACACCGAGTTCGTCCCGTTTCGCTCATCGGGCCGTGATGGTTGCCCCAGACGGGGCGACGCACTGGCAGAACCAGGCGACGCCATGCTGCGCGTGGATGCCTCAGGGGTGACGGGAGCTGGGACGTTCGAAGGCCGGTCTTGTCCAGGGGTTTCTGGACGACCGTCTTTCGGTCCTGGCTCGCCCGCGGTTCCTTGCTCCGTGGCGCCTTGTAGTCTCAGCTGCTCTCGGGCAAGGAGATCGGGATCGCGTTGAAGATCAAGTAGAAGCTTCATCGCTTGCTTTGTAAGACCCTTTTCTCCCACCTCCGGTCGATACGATTTCACTGCATGGAGGAGCTGGGCGGGGGTCAGCTGCTGCAATTGCAGCAAGGTAGTGACGAGAGACTCATGGTCATCTCCCAATGACGAGAAACATTGTAGCCACTGCAGGAGCTGAATGACCGGCGCCAGGTGCTTGCGCGCGCTTTCCATGGTGCTTTCACCGGTGCACGTCGTCGACCCATTCTCATAGTGCTCCGGCTGCCTATTGTTGGTACGTGCCCAATCCTCCAGGGTGGACACGTTCATCCGGATCTGCATGGCTTTGGTTCGCGCGAGGTATCTCTTGGTCGTCATAATTCGATTGAATAATTCAGCCCCAAGCCAGTAAAGGAGCTGCGAGAGGATCTGTGTGGTGATGACCGAATGTACGTCGTAGAGATCGAGGACAAATAAGGTCGAAGATAGTAAAGAAGTAATATTTCGCGGCGACACTTGCGCTCTTCGTCTTGGAGACGGTGGCCGAAACCGCTTGTCAGCAGGTTCGGGGGCTTTTGTCTTATTCTTGGGCCGGAAGAGCTTCCATTCATTCTGGAAGGCCACATCTTCCAGTCCTGGTATGGTCTCATGATCCAGCATCGCAGCGTCGAGCACCTTGTTCATCCGACGCTCAGCGTCGCGGATGATCAAGATGAATATCTCATTGATAAGCTCTGCCAGGTGTAGTTGAAACTCAACAGTCGACTCTACCAAGCCTGCGTCCTTCTTCAAATAATGCAAAAGCAGAGTCGCGTTTGACATCCAGAATGCGAGTATGGTCATGTCCCACTGATGTCGTTCAACGACGTCATTGATCTTCTCCGTCGCCGAATTGAGGAGATCCGCCAGCAGTTCGGGATTGGCATGATAATGGGCATATCGCGCGCTGAGGAACAGGAGATTTGCGGGCACCGGTTTCTGTGACGGTGAACGTTGCGGGGTCATGTTGGTGATGATGATGTCCAGGATTCGTTCTAGTTCATGCTCTTGGAACACGAACATCTGATCATTTAAGCATCGGTCCCAGACAAACTCTTGCTGCTCATCTTCCAGATCGTCCTCGTCGAGCGGCTACACGGTCAGCATCATTGACATCTCTGCGGAATAGTGTACCCACTTCGAACTTTTCATCGAGCCCCAGACTCGATAAATCGACCTCCAAGTTGATAGCGCTCTCCTCCATCATCATGCGCCGCTTCATCTCATTCTCCGCAATCTCCTCCTCAAACCGACCATGTGCGAACCCAGAATCGTAAAAATCATCCTCGATCGCACTCGGTCCGAAATTGTACCCATTCTCATGTAAATACTCGGAGATCTCGCTTCCCGGCTGAGCAAAGTCGAACGCGGTCCCGCCGGATGAAGACTTGATGTCCGGCGAGGCACCATGATCGAGAAGAATCTTCGCAATGGTCTTGTGCCGGTTCGTCATCGCCCACATCAGCGCGCTCCACTGATTCCGGTCCTGCTGGTCGACATTGGCCCCGGCATCGAGCAGCGCCGAAACAACATCCTGATGTCCCTGTTCTCAGTCAGTACCTCACCCAACCCCGACGGTAAGGAAATATCCAAATACGCACAAAACAGCTCGCATAGATCAGCGGGACCGTCCCCTCCTCATCCGGCATATTCACATCAACGTAGTCCTTCGCCTTGCCCCCCACCAGCTTATGCACGCGGTCCACATCGCCATTACTCGCCGCCATATTCAAGCTCCGCTGCAAGATCTTTCGCTTCTCCTCGTCCGTAAGCTTCTCGTCGCTCGCAATGGCGTCCTCATCCGCCTCCAGCGATTCAAGTTCCCGGTGCGCCGCCTGTGCCGCCAGCATCTCCATTAACCGAGCGTCGCTGTCCTCTAGACGTGCGGTGATGGTGGACGCGTTATCGTCGTCCAGCGAGGCCACGAGCCCGCGCCCATACTGAGCTTGGAGAGTATGTTCGTCGTCGTGTGAGTGGTCGTCGAGCGCGAGACTGAAGCTGAGTGGCTTTGCGGCGATGGGGGTTGTGAGGAATTGGGATTGGCCTGCGGGCATGGGGGATTACATTAGCTGCCAGGGACTCTTTGCGTAATTGTGACCAAGCCAACCAGTGGTCGTCGAGACTATGTCCTTGTAGACCCTGCGACAACAGCAGCGCAAAAGATACAGGTGTACCACTCACCTTGCCAGGCATCGTACATCTCCGTCTCTTGGAACATAGGCACAGAGCGCCGATCGTCCAATGACGTGGGTAAATCGTCCGGAAGAACTCTGGGTTTCTGCGTTGGCTGAAGATCCGTCTCCTCAAAGTTATGATCTCGATCGATCTCGTTGTGGTGACTGGGAATTGACTCGTCGGAGGCCTCGCGGGGGGATGCTGGCGAATCCATGTCGTGGTTGGTTAACCTTTAACCGGTAGGAAAGCAATCGGAGCGGGTCAGAATGGATTAGGACGTAGTAGCTCCATGGAGGGAACTGGTAGTGATTATGGAGGAAAGCCTCCTCTTTGATTATGCGGGAAAAAATGATCCCTCGTGGGCAGAAGAGGAGGAGGAGGAGGAGGAGGTGGTGGTGGTGGTAGTAGTGGTGGTGGAAGCAAGGCGGAAACACGAGAATGGAGAGTGGGATGGATTATGCAGTGAGTGATGTCTGTCAGTCTACGTAGATAGCAGCTTCGGGGATTTTCATTTATTAACAGTGCTTCCACTTTCACTTGTGGACAAACCCGGTGAGTGATTGACATGATCCAGCTCCACTCTCAATCAACTCGACTGAGAGGGCGTGTTTCATCCTCTTCAGCTTGAATTTGGAAAAGCATGCCCGCATTTCATCATCGCTTCACCCGTTATTTCTATAGTGGGACGCCCGCCGCACTTCCATCAACAATCATGGATGAGGTTACTGCTTATTACTTTCAACCACTAAATACCATCAACAATAATTGCTCCATTCAGTCCCATCATCCAAGCGCTAAACAAATGCAGGTATATAGTGTACATCCAATTGACGTGATAAGTGCTCACGCATGATCGGCAGAATAACAAAATCATGAACAAGATGATATCCCTGCAGGGTATAGGTGTATACCACGGCAATTGCAAATGCACAAAATGACAAGACTCCTCCAAGTAGATGCAAATAATAAGTCAGTAAATCTCTCAGAAAACAAAGCGGGAAGAGAAAACGACTGGGGTATCAAAAGCTCATTCCAGCATCCTACTGCGTTTTTGAATCTGATCTTCGGAAAGCGATGCGATCCAGAGACAACGCTCGATGATGCCCGGCACAGGCTCGAATTTGTATTTGGTGCTCGCGTCAATCAGTCGAAGAAGATTCTTGACGATCTTTGCTGCCGTGCGATATCGCTCAAAGTTGACCAGCGGTTCTCCGTTGGGGTTTGCTACCTGCGCTGGTTTCTGCGCGTTGTAGGTGAGGTCATGGACGTATAATCCTGAAAATCCAGTCAGTATGTCTATGAGATAGCGTGGGCCGAGAGCTCACTAACCGACAAACGGGATACAGCCTTCCTGCAAATTGGCCGTTTCCATTTCCATGCGAAGATCATGAAAGTTGCGCACAGGCTGGATGAGTAGTTCCATGTCTTTCAGCAAGCGCCTTTCCGATGGAGGCACCAGAGCCCAAGTTTTTTGCAGTCGCGAACAGTCCGTAGAAGACAAAGCAATGGCAATCTGCAGCATCGTTGCGTAGTTGCAGATCCGTTTCGCGTGGGCAGCAGTATGGATGAATTTGACGATGGTGCTAGCTCGCTCTTCTACCGTGCGCACGAGAACGATCTCCGAAACCACCCATCGCACCATGAGGTTGAATCGACCCACTACGAGATCTATTCCCCTTCGTTCCTCCTCGGTAAGGAACTGGACCCAGTTGCGAGTGGAGGGCGAGCCGCTACTCCAATTCATATCGACCAAGTCTTTCCAATCCACCTCACTGAGCGCAGCCATCTCGACCAGGGTCAGCTGCTGAGCAAGGATCTGGGATTCGCATGAGAGAATAAACGGGACATGGTCTGGTTCAGGGTTCTTGGAGATATTGTAGCGTTGGCGATCCATCTCAGATTGAGAGAGTACATCACCCGAGACCTGGTGCGTGTTCACCGGGCGAAGATTGTTCCGTTCGGTGTTCTTGTTCCTAGGTGAGGGGTCTGGAGTTAATGGCTCCGCCGGAAACAGAACTGGATCCATGGGCGTGGTGCAGGAGGCCACTGAACGAGGATTCTGTATGGTCATCGGAGGTGAAGGAGGGTGAGCAAGAGGATGAGGTGGAATCCCAAACGAGGAATCCCCAAGACTCTGCGTGTCCAACGAGAGCCGCGGGTCGAAAGCTTCCTGTGATCCTATAATATCAACAGACAGTTCGGACGAGAGCCCTGAAAGTCGTCGCCGTTGGTCTTTAGAATCTCTGGATAAAGGCACAGGCAGCGTGGATCCTCGTGGGATACATTTAAGGCTATCGGTCTTTTGAACGACATCGATAGAAGGATGAGAGGACTCAACTTCCGTCGTGTCCTGAATCGATATCCTGCTCAGCCTAGGCCGAAGCAAAGTAGAGTTCTGCGATCCCGTGGTCGGCTCGGGTTTCTTCATCGACTCGTCACTCAGGCCTCGCTCGAGAAGGGGTATTGAGCTATACGACTCCCCCGACTCCGATCCCGCAAGCGAGTCGGAGTACGGTCTGGAGGGGGAAAGGCGCCGCCGTGCTTGCGGATAGAGCAAATCGGTCCCGAGCAAAGTTTGGCACCGTCTGTGAGCAACTTCCGATGTTGTAGGGTCAGACGACCCGAGGGCCTGACCGTGTTGAAGATGGCCTGGCTCTCTGCACCTGTCACCATGCGAGAGCCCTGCCGGTTCCCCGCCGGTAGGGGACCCGGGCCACTTTCCCTCAAGCTTCAACAACGCTGACTCGATCCCTCCGTCGTCGTCATCTGGAATCTGCGCAAACTGCGCAATAGCAGCTTCAAATGAGCGCCTCAACATCTGAGACGAGTGAGTCTGAATCAACTCGTATCGCGGATTGGGAGGGATCAGGCTCGTTTGGCGTCTGGAAACATCATGTTGTCCACTCATCAGGCTATCAGGGAAGGAGCTGCGATACGTTGATCCAGAAGCAAATGACCCAGAATCCGGGCGCGACCGCAGGCCACCCACGGTCTGCATCTGCCGCAAATCTCCACCAGGGCGCCGACGAAGCGTTGGTCCAACCTGCGCTCCAACGGTGAGTTTAGAAGGGTTCGGATCAGCAGCTGGCGGTAGCGATGGATCTCGTGCCATGGCCGAACGCTGTCTCGATATCCCGCTTTGAAATGAAGCATACTTTCGGAGACGAAGAGAGGGAGATGTTCTCTTCCAAGAGACCGAGAAACGTTCCGTGGAGAATGATCGGCGGGTGTCAGAGACTCCAGATGAGCGAAGGAACCTCGAGATTCGATTGGGTGGCCCAGAGTCCGCTTCCTCATAGTAGATGGGCAGGGAATATTGATCTTCTGCCAGACCCAATATATGAGACGGAGGGCGTAGAGAGGCTGCTTTGACAGTTGTAGGTGTGTACGCAGCGTTCAGAAAGCCAGGAGGTTGCTCAAGCCCCATCGAATGCTCCAGCACAGCTCCAGACATGACGGGATCTCCCACCCCGGTGTCATCCACAATGACGATAGATTGACTGCCCATGGTAATCTGACTTTTGGCCTTTGAGCGGTCGAAGCCGGGAGCCGGGCGGTCTGTCTTCTTGCCTTCCAGTTCCATCGCTTGCTCGGTCACTTCTAGTCTGGGGCCCCTAGCCGTCTGGGGTGAGTCTACCTCGCCAACCGCACGACGATATTCTTGCAACGCCTCGTCAGACAGAATATCAATTCGAATCGGTCTCTTTGATGTCGCCGCGTTCTTTCTGTCTCTATACAGATCAGATCCAAAGGCTACATTGTTAGGTAAGGCTGATGTTTTCCCCCGCATTGAAGGGTTCCATTGGCCATTCGCGGCACGCGACGAGACGTTTTGTCCTCCGTGCCTGCTATGTAGAGCTCGGCGAATAGACCCGATAATCGTCTTCATTCCTGAACTCGAGCCAGGAGGCTTTGAAGTCTCATTTATTGTATTGCGACGGTCCTGCGCGCCAGCGCTCGCGGACGAGGGCAAAGGGGGAGAAGGCGGCGCCATCATGGTCATGTACGACTCGGCTGGAGGATACAGCTCTCCGCGAATCAGGCTTCCTAGGTTCAGTATCTCTTGAGAAGCGAACGCCTGCGTTTCAAGCTTCAGCAAAGACAAAGGCGCCCTGTCATCCCGAACGGAGTCGGAAAAGCTACCACTGCGCTTGTGCGCATGGCCATGGAACGGGAGGCGCTTCGCTATAATTGGGGACACGTTAGGGGACTCGGGTGGGGAACATAGAAGCTTAGACGGGATTATAGGCACTGGATGAGGCGCCTTGCATACGGCAACAGGTACGGAGAGGCGCTTAGGAGATTTGGGTGGCAAGGAACACGACGTGACCTGGACACTATGATCGCTTCTTGTAGATGCCGGCATGCTCTTTGCCGTAGCCGTGGAATTGTTCCGATCGTGCTGGATCTGTTGAAAAGCAGGGAGACTCTGCTGGACACCAGTCTGGTGTTCCTGGTTGACTTCAGGCGTTGTGGAATCGTACTCGTGCTCCTCAGCGTTGCCTTCGCCCTTGGGGCCTGTTTCGAAGTCAAAACCACCCGGGACAATGACGGTGCCTGGAGCTATATGACCTGTCGGCAAGTCCCAGTAGGCGGCACATTTGCCATGCCAGCAGCGCTTAAGGTCGATTAAGATCTTCAAGTCACTCGTCCCACCCCCTTCCCGGGCCTTGACGTTGTCGTACATGGTATTGATTGTGTCGCAAAATCGAGCGCGAAGGTCATAGTCAGGGACAAAGTCATCGGCGAAATAATTGAGAATCCAGTGCCGGAGCGCGGCAAAGGTACGAATGCGGATAATCCTGCCATCGTCCTGGAGTCGATTGATAGCCCATTGCAGCCGAGCGAGCAGAAGAGAGAGAAGATTACCGGGGGAGAGGTAAGAGCGAAAGGTGAGGAAAAAGTCAGACACGAGCTCATAATCCATGAACGACTCGGACGATATCTGCGCTACAAGACGTGCTGGAGTGGCCGCGCCGATGTCCTTGGTCCCAGAGATATAACGGACTACAGAGCCGTCATGCATTTTCGAAGATAGGTGATCATATATGGAGGGCTCAATGGGCTCCTTCAGTTCGTAGAAGACTGGATTCACCGTCGCAGTTGAGGCTCGAGGCATCTCCATAGCTGGCTGGCCAGAGAACATGGAGGCAGCAAAGGACGGCCTTTCTGGCTGAATTGAGTCCCCGATGTAGACATTGGGACCAGGACCAGGACTAGCGCTGCAATTTTCTCTCAGGAACCCCGAGACGCGAAAATTGTCGGACAAGGATGCTCGTGAATATACGGAGCTGTGCAAAGCAGCGCTCCCTTCGGTATTGAATTGTGGCGTTCCCAACCGGTAGTGGGGGATTGGGATATCCAGTGTCGGGCGCCGAGACTCATCTGCAGTCCTGGGTCGATCATCGGGTCTGTCAATGAAGATCCGAAACTCTCCGTATCGCTTCTCCCCCGACACCGATTGCTGCTCTGATATGGTGGAGAAGGAATGCGCGCGCTGGCGGTGCTGGTGCTGACGGTTGTACTCAGAGGCTGCCTCGTCCGTGGCCACAGAATCGCC